AGTGGGTTGGTTCCTAATCAGGATTATTTTTTTTTAAAAAAGGAAAAAAATTTACTACCGAGATATGAATAATGACTAATTTTTTGAGAAAATAAGGGGGAAATTTTATGTGCACAAATATGTGTAACATATAGTAGGCATTTTGAAATTATTTTAATTTAAATAATTAAAATTTCCTTTCACAAGTAATTTAAATCTAACACCTACATACTGAATAAAAGGCTAGCGCTTCTTTTAGAGGCCAACAATACCTTCTAGCTAATAGAAAAGAATTGCAAGTTAATGTTTTAACACTGGATTCAAAATCAAAAGAGAACATTTCTAGTCACTCAGTATTTCAAATAGTGAAAACGGACAACTTTACAACTGATAAATCATAAAAAGATCAATTCAGCACTGGCAGCAAGTAGGTCTCAGTATCAAAGTAGATTTTTCCAAAGAAAAGAGACATTTTTCAAATCAGCATAGAGCACTGCAAAATCTCATGACCAAACATAAATCACATGATAAGAAATGAAGTAGCCGAAGATGAAAAGGATCTTTGCTAAATTTTTAGCCAAGTATATTTAAGACGTACACAGGCACAGAGAGCCACCAGTGCTCACAATTAGAGGCAGGACAAAGTGGCAGTGATCTTTTTGACAAATAAATTGCTTGAAATATTGGATGACTCGCTACACAACACCCACCCTTATTACTTTCCATTTCCAAGTGCAACCAAAAGATGGGTCCAATTATGACATCAATACAAGCTTTCTTTCAAAATGGAATGAAAGAACAGTAAATCCCAGTGGCCATGGTGGTTCTGCAGCAGAGATGATGTAATACATAAAAATAGACCTCCTCTCACAGAAGCCGAAACTTGGGTAAACAACGCAGTGCATACTATTCTCAACTGCCTTGCATGAATTTGCAATGCATGTTGTTAATAGAGCGAGAGGAATCATTTTATGTTTTAAACTGTTTCCTGATTTACATTTCAATTTCTATACATCCTCTATATTGTAATTTTCCAATCTGTATAAATTAAATCAGCATAAATACCTGATTATAACTGCAAGAAAGAGAAACGGCCCCCCCCTCCAAAGCCAGGAGATTGAGACCACGGCAGCAGTGTTAACACGCTGCACTTTGCCAGAAATTGCAGCACATATGGCACAGGATTGTTATGTCCACCTATTGTTCAAAGACCTTTCCACAGGGAGCTTTCTGCAGGATTTTAAAATGCAACATGATCTAAGTGAAGAGGAACCAGGAAACCTGCTAATAATGAGTGTGAAAAAGCACAGGATAATTTGGGCACTCCTCTTTTAAAAAAAAAACTCTCTTATGCAAATAAAAACATCAGGCATGAATATGATAAATAGTATCTAGCAAAATTTGTGATTTTGTGTGTGTCTGTGTGTCTGTGTGTGTATGTCACTCTTCTCTAACATGCTGCACACACACCCTTTTCCATTTGTCATTCCCTGATTCAGTTTGCACTTTTCTATTGGGCTCTTTGGATTAAAGGTATTTTTCTTTGAGCCAAAATATTAAAGCCATTCCAGCTATGCCTGATTCCTCAAGGCACCCTGTCTATGTGCCCCTAAGTACCTGGAGTTCCCTGTATCTTACAATGTAGTTCCCTATATTATACTTGTCTGTATTCCCTGTGAGATTATAAAGTCACTAACAGCAAGATTCTGTGTGTCCTGTAAACCTTTTTAGCCCCAGAGTCTGGCACAGACCTGAAACAAGGTAGGTATTCAATAAATATTTGTTAAATGAACAAAAAATGTAAATAAAAATATTAACTGAGCTTTCCTCTCTGTAAGAAATACAGATTCTCTTTAACTCCATCCTATTATATTTCACAAACAGGCATCAATGACAATATTTAAGACAAAGGTTTAGGTTCAATTAAGAAATTGATGAATTTAAAGAAGAATGAAAAGTAGTGAAATTAATAGATTGTCCCTATATTTGAATAATTTCTGTAAATGCATATAAACAGGTTTTAAAATATCACATGAATTAGTCAGGTGGACATAAATTTGTTGTTATAAATTACAATTTTTTTAACTAATCAAAACTATCAAGAAGTCCTTAACTGAGGATGAAACCAACTTAAATCAAATCTATCTCTAAAAAAAAAAGATGATTTCAAAGATAAGTAAGATATAATCTAAGAATAACTATATAAAGATGATAAGAAAAAGGACTTGTCTAATTATTATAAAGAATAACCTTATAAAAACTGGGACTTATTTTCATAAGCCTCATACAAGAATCAATCATATTACATAGGTTGCCACATTTTATAAATATTGTATTATTACTGACTATAATAAAAAATGATTCAAATAATGTAATATTACATTTAATTCAACTTACATTATATTAATTTTATATAGTATTTTTGTTACTTTTGTACACCTGCACCAAGAACTTTAAAATAAGCCTAATCTACTGAAAGACTCAATACATAATTATTAAACAGTACTCTGAAATATATATTCATATTGTAGTAAAGGACAAATAATAAAAGATATGTGTGGGACATATCTTTTTATATGGTGGCCCAAAGGGTTTTGATTTTTTCAAAAATTCTGCACTGATTGAAGTTTTGTTACACCGTGTTCAAATCTTCCCAGTTCAAATTTTGTACACAGCAACAGAGCCATGCTTTTCTGGAGGAGTAGGAGTGGGAGTGAAAAGTCAATCATAACTTCCAAGTGTGAAGAGCATTTTAATTGTGCAACCAGCCTTAGAAGGCTGAAAAGTTTTGAAATGTCCATTGGTACACATAACCTCCACAGTGTAACCAGGACAACTTTTCTTCAGCCTTCAGCTTAACATCGCTGTATCATTTTTGCTCTTTCCAAACTCAGAAGATGGTAGAGCTGTTTTTACATTAAAATAAAGGAAAGGAAAAAAAAAGATGACTGAACAGGCATGTACCGGCTTTCCCATGACTCCAGTCCTTCTTCCCCTTAAGTCTTACCACCTCTCCTGTCCATTTTTACACGGAACTCAGACTTCCCTTCCCACAGAAACTTATAGAATAAATTACCCATGAATGCAGAGAGGGCCTTCATTACGGGTAAAATAAAAAAAACTACCCCCACAACCACCCAGCCTATTCTAAACCAGGAGACAAGGTAAGCCTGCCCAAAGCCCTAAGTCAATCTCTAAATCTTCCAGCCTCTTCCAGGAACCTACTACCACTTGCCCTACATCTTTACTCACTCCAAGATTGGTAATTCATGCCACATCCTATTTCCTGGCTGTCTTAAATACAGCCTCAGATGCACCTTCAAAAAACAGGATCCGATATTTTCAATTATGACCATGTTGTTGCCAAAATTAGGTTAAGAATATAATCAAAATGTAAGGAAATGCTAATGAAAGCCATCTCCAATCTTCTCTTCTCACTGCATTTTAAAATATTTTTTTCTGTCAGCAAACCTCACACACTTGCCTTGAAAAAATGTCCGGATAACATTCTACACCAGTGGTTCTCAACTTTGACTGCACATTGGAATCACCTGGGAATCTTTTTAAAATCCTGATTTCTGGGCCCCATCCTCCGGAAATTCTGTTTCTTTGTTCATTATGGGGTGGGGCCACAACATTAGTAACAAAGAAACAGAATTTCCGGAGGATGGG